AGAAAGTTTAAAAAATCATTTCCAAGTTGCCTTAATTTCCCTTCACAAGGTTTCATAGTACACACTTTTTTGAGTACAAAGTAATTGCATGGATAATAAATAACAATGTCAAGATAGCGTTGTACTCTAATCAAGGTATAAAGAACCATATTTGTTACTCTTTATTTCAATGAAAGAAACTTGCAATTGTCAAAAACATTTTTAGATCCAAAGATTTTAATAGCAGGATATTTAAAAATCAATGTTACTAATTACCGACTATTACATTTAATTTGAAACACATCATTTTGAAATATTTCAAAATAGCTGTTTTGATATCTTGATTACGATACAATGAAATCTTACCCTTGTAGTCATTTATGCGTAGTTACTTAGTACACGGAAAAAGTATGTACTATGAAAATTAGAAGGCAAATTCAAGCTATTTGATTGGACGAGAAGTTGTAAGTATGTGCTAATTTAAATTCAAATTTTCGTCGCACTTTGCGTTTGCTAAATATCATACTTTTTGCTTTCATAGTATATAGCTTTTCATAAACTATCCAATTTAGTACATATTTACAACTCAAGTAATCTTATAATTGGTCTATTGATAATTTATTTTATTATAATTCGTGTCAAAATGCCAGATTTTGATTGGTAAATACGAGGGAGACAATTTACTCTATCACATGGCAAATACTCTATTACCCTTCAGGGAGACGCTTGCTCAAGTGTGTGCTTTAATAAATACGGATGATTGTTATGTACAAGACGACATAGTTTATTACTTTGAATTTGAAATTTAATAGTAATAACAGAACATTCAGTATAATAAATTAAATAACACATATCTGAGAGGGAGATATAGCACATTGTTACCCCTCGAAAGGACATTGTCAACATTGGCTTCGCCTCAGTTGACAATGTTTTCTCGGGGTAACAATCTGCTCTATCACCCTCTTAGCTATAAGTTATTTATATATTGGCTGAATACTTGTATCACATGTGTTTGTAAAACGGAGTTCATTAAGTAAGTTTTGTGTCATATAATAGCTATCATATTTGTTCAATTTGTGTCATGTGATATACAAATCATGAGTTAATAAATGTAGAAAACTCGAATTGGGAAAATTTTGCTCACTGTACATGTGTTGTTCTTTGGTGTGCGTTAATATTGAACAGATTGAGGTTGAAACAGAAATTCCAAACTATACAATTTAAAAGCGTTTCAAGGTCGTTAAACCTGACATAGCTGTTTGATCACATGACTAAGAATCTGTGGACTGGGTTTCAAAAGTATCTAAGCTGAAAATATACGCCCAAACAGGGAGTTAAGAGATTTATATAGAAAAACCATTGGATTATATCGATGATGAGCAAATAGTATGTAAATATAGACTTTAACGGTCACTGATATTTGAATTTTGTAATATATTTAAAAATGACTTAGCAAAGCCCACTGCAAGATCTCGTGCTTTACCTGTATCATATCAAATCATGGTAGCACTAAAATTTCATGACAAAGTAAGCTTTCAGGTGGTAAATGGCGATGTTCATAACATTTCCAGGCCAAGTGTACCAAAGATAACACGTGATATAATTGGCCAATTGTACCAAAGATAACACGTGATATAACTGGCCAATAGTATCAAAGATAACACGCGATATAACTGGCCAATAATATCAAAGATAACATGTGTTTTAACTGGCCAATAATACCAAAGATATTAACACGTGATATAACTGGCCAATTGTACCAAGGATAACACTTGATATCACTTGCCAATAGCACCAAAGATAACACGTGATATAACTGGCCAATTGTACCAAAGATAACACGTGTTATATCTGGTCAATAGTACCAAAGATAACACGTGATATAACTGGCCAATTGTACCAAAGATAACACCTGATATAACTGGCCAATTGTACCAAAGATAATATGAGATATAACTGGCCAATTGTACCAATTTGGATGATAACACGGATATAACTGGCCAATTGTACCAAAGATAACACGTGATATAACAGGCCAATTAAACCAAGATAACATGTGATATAACTGCATGTTAAAAAAGGCTGTGTAATAATTATATAAAGATCCAAACTGACCAGGCTGGACTTCATAGTATTATGAGAGATTTTTTTATAAAAAAGGTTTTTTAAACATGTTTAATGTTATCAAAGTTTTCCACACAATTCAGTCTTTTGTCGTTTGAAGTATCAATGCCATTATTATAAAAATATAAATAAATGTTTATAAATTATAATAGTTTTTAATTTTTTTCTCAAGATATATCTCTCGAAAACCAGGTCCTTGAATCTTTGATGGTCTTAAGTATTTAACATAGATATGGTATGACACACACTTTTGGGCGAACAGAAGGAAGGGTTTCTATGAAAAAAAAAAACTTTTGAATGTGGAACAAGTAAGCAAGCTACATATGTCGTATCCACAATCCCGGCTTCCTTTTACGAGTAAAAGAACTCAACAGAATTGTTGTTATGAACATAAGGATGGAATAATTATATAAAGATCCAAACTGACCAGACTGGACTTCATAGTATTATGAGAGATTTTTATGAAAAAGGTTACGAGTAAAAGAACTCAACAGTATTGTTGTTATGAACATAAGGATGGACGCTACAACAGATGTTTTATTTTCTTTCATTTTTATCGCGGATTTGGGGGATGGGTTACTGATTAAAGCTGGATTGTTTTTTATTTGTTCCTGTCTATTGGAATGTCATATACCTCACAACTATCTTACAGTTTATGCATAATCTATCTTGGAGGAATTCGCCGTCAAAACCCTCTATGAGTTGTCAACCTTTTTTAAGGTGTCCAGAGCCTAACATTGTTAATCATGCATGTGTTCAGAGCTTACTATAATAGTATTAATATACATGCATATGCGAAGACCATAACATTGTTTTTCATGCATGATTCAAGGACCTTAAATTGTTATTCATGCATGTGTGAAGGGCCTTACATTGTTATTCATGCATGTGTCAAGGGCCTTACATTGTTTTTCATGCATGTGTCAAGAACCTAACATAGTTATCCATGCATGTGTCAAGAGTCTAACGTTGTTATTCATGCATGTGTCAAAAGCCTGACATTGACTAAATGACGTAGCAATTTACATCTATAGGTCACAGTACGACCTTCAAAAATGAGCAAAACCAATACTGCGTAGTATATAAAGACAGTCACTGTAAAAGACCACGAAATGACAAATGTAAAACAATACAAACGAGAAAACTAATGGCCTGATTAATGTAGAAAATATTAAACGAAAAATAACTATGATATACAGCAACAAACGACAACGACTGACTTATATTGGGACAGGAATTGTTTTGTTTTTTTGCATGCATCAAGAGTCTAATTAACACTGAAGAGTGATAAAAAGGGGCAAAACTATCCTGTATAAGATTCAATCAGTGTGCTTATTCAAATTAACGTCACTGGGTCATCAGTGTGTGAGTTCGAATCCCGCACGTGGCAGGGGCGCTCGACTCCAATCTTAATTGACTATGATTGTCAATTTTGCTACCGTAGGTCGATGCTTCCTCCACCAATACAAATTGTCCGCCACGATTTTGCTGAAAGTGGCGTTAAACACCAGCCGATTAAGCAATCAATCCATCATAAAAGTTCAGATTAAGATATCATGTTGTACTGCATGTTTTAGTTATAACTTGATAAGTTTCTTAAATTTTTAACTTCGTATTAAAATGTTTCATTAATGTTTTAATTAACTAGTGAATTTATTCATTAATCTTTGTATGATTTTCAGAAACATTTCTCATTTGCCACTAAAACAAAATTTTACATTTATTGGAAGCAGGAATCATGAATAGAACAATAATAAGTAACGTTCCTGAATAGTATAGGGGTATCTTAGCAACCCTGCATGACTAAGCTGCATGTTATCAAAGACAAATATATTTATTTACACTTGAGGTTGATAATACGTTTTTATCATGCTGGCCTTGTCAATATTCTATTGAATTTAAATTAAGGGGAGAAAACTTAAGGTTCCTATTTCAGAGGCATACTTTCAAAGTAAAACTGCCACCAAACTGTACCCGGTTTTGTAAAAAACATAATAATAAAATGGCTAAGAATTTAATGGCATGGAAAGAAAATATATTGTTTTCGTGAGATAAACAATATGAGTAATAAATAATTAAAATGCATCTTTGATAACTTTGCTAAACGTCGAAGTAAACATTTACAGGGTCGTGAAGCAAGAGACAATCAATCAATCAAAATCTACGGAAATGGCTAAGAATTTCAGATCAATATCTTGATAACCAAAAAGTATTAACAGAAATACCGAACCAAAGGTAAATTCAAAAAAAGGGGGAGGTTCATAAAATTGACACAATCAAACGTTAGAGTGTACCAACCAAAGGAACGAATGAAAAACAACTATCCCATTCCTGACTTAGTACAGGAATTTTCCGAAGAAAATTGTTGGTTTAACCTGGTTTTATAGCTAGCTTAACCTCCCACTTGTATGACACGAATGTGTGTTACGTTAAAAAAAATTCAAATTAAGAAAAAATGAAATCAAATTTTAAATATTTCCTAAACATATGGTGAGTAATTTCAAGGAAGCTGTACTTAAATCACTTTGTTTCGAAATCTCTTTTATATAGTTGTCGGGTGCGCACAAGCAGTTTAATTAGCCCTATACCACATATTAATGCATACTCTCCGAGAAATTTAATACACAAACCCAATGCGCGGTCTCCTGCCATTTTGAAAGTGTGGGGAGGGGAGGGGGGGTTGCAACCCCCAGAACACAATGAAACGTTCACATAATTAAAAAAAAATTTAAATATAAAAATCCACCACTGCCGGCATACATTCAAAAAGAAGCTCTTGCAGTCCTTTTTATCATTCCCAAACATATTCTTTAACAAATAAATAGTACTTCTTTTTCTATCATATTTATTTTGTTATGTGTTCATTGTTTTGTTTGTCTTTTTTTATTTTAGAAAATTCTAAATCACGTGCAATGGATAACCAAAATATCGAAAACAATTTACCATGGAAACACGAAAGCAAAACCAACGGTTCCAACAATAATCCGAACAAATCATCAAATGGAAACTCTTATTCCGATGTTAAAAATTCAAAAACAGTATTCAATATTAACGGAAATGAAGAAAAAGCTCCATTAGATTTCTATAAAAGTGACGAGAATAAACTAATCTCAGATCTAACAGGAAGTGACGCAAAACCTGACATAGACAAGGAATGGGAAGATAAGCATCTTCGTTACGGATGGTACAACTATAAACCAAGGTAAAAATATAAATATTAAGAAGATGTGGTATAAATTTGAAAACTATCCAACAGAGTGCAAATGACATATATGTTAGCAGCTAGACGTCTCAATAAGGCCTTCAACAATGAACAAGACATATACAGTATACTTACGAAATAATTCCTGTAAGCCATAGATTTGTTGTAAATTTTCACATGGCCTGGGGCGTTATATTCGAATGATATCCCTATAGCGTTCGTATAATTTTTTTTTTTTTAAATTTAATTTGAGAAGGTAATCTCTTTTCAAATGTTGCATAATCCTTATTTAAGTGAAAGAAAAAAAAAATACAAACAAACAAACAAACAAACACACAAACAACCAAAGAAAGAGCATAGACACTAATCTAATTTTGCACCTTTCTTTTTTTCAGATGGGCACAAGTGTTTAATTCCATTCGTTGGTTTGTTTTCTGGACATGTGTTTTTAGTTTAGTGCAAGGTTTTATCGTAAACGGTGTCATCAATGCAGTAATAAGCACGTTAGAAAAAAGATACGAGTTGCCAAGCTCAAAGTCAGGACTAATAGCAAGTTCAAATGACTTTTTTGCGTTTTTTCTTGTCCTAGCGATTAGTTATTATGGAGGAAAAAGGAACAAACCAAAACTAATTGGAATTGGGATTTTAACATTGGGAATAGGATCGTTTGTGTTTTCTCTGCCACAATTTCTGGCAGGAGAATATAATTTTGGATCAACTGGTAAGAATACAATATAAGATGAACAATTATAATTAATAGTTGAATATTTCATTTTTGTAAAATTATAGAGTTTAAAAATTTTGACCGGAGCACATTTGTATGAAGCGCGGAAGTGTTCCATACTATGATGTGCGCATGGTCAAAGCTTTTACATTTCTATAAAACTACAAATAAAATATGTATAAAAATATACAACGTTTAAGAGCATAAACATGACACGGCTTACACGGATCACCCAAAACCACTGTTTTTTTTATAATGAAATTTCTTTATTGTAACAAATAGACTAGCACAACATGTATGAACAAAGGTATACAGAATGGCATATTCACACAAAGGAAGTATTAAATAATAAAACAACTGTTACAATTGAATATATAATGGTGCAACAATAGGTTGAACATAAATAATTATCTAATAACAATGGAATCTAATTCGTTCTTGCAATATCTATTTGTGTTGTTTAAATCAAAATTCGACATTTATTAATTATTCTATAATAGGGGCCAAGGGACTCCAGTATTTGTTATATTCCTCTACAGAGAGGTTTTTAAATGAAATGTATTTTTCTAAGTTCAAGTTTTCCTTTAAATAGTTTTTTAAAGCGTTTAAATTTGGCAATACTTCTTGTAATTTTGTTCGGTTCGGTTCCAAAACCACTGTTATCAATCTTTTTTCTTAACGATTTTTAAAACTACATTATTTTATGAAATAGAGATTAACAGACGGAAAAAATGAGACAGAAAACGACAATAAAATATAAAAGGCCAAAGCAAAACTGTTACAGACAAAACCATGACCAAAAACGAAAAGCGACGAAAAGACAAGACTACAAAACACTATATAAAAACTTACTAAAACTGAACAACTCTAATCCAACCAAAACTCGGTGTTTTCTCAGTTTCGCCAGAAGGATAATCAGATCCTGTTCCACTATTGGCACCCTTTTAACTTAATCTGGGGTTAAAACTTTATATATGTGTGTAAAATGCTATTTTCAACTTCGTGATGAATGTTCAAAATTATCGCTAGCACCTATCATATAACAGTTAACCTTGGTCTGAAATAAGTTCTCTTGTTTTAATCCTTTTATCATTGATATCATTAAGAGGTTGGACCTGGGTTGTCCTCAGTGCTAATCAACGTTTACTGACAGCATATTAACAAAATTTATCTGTAAACATTGATAATTTAAAGGACAGGAATTACTCTATGTATATCACTATGCGCAGCTGTACAAGTCACAATAAGGGTCGATAACTCAGTCCGCATGGTTTGGAGGTCAGTAATCGCAACATTGTCATCGATAGCCACTGTATAAATTTTATTTTATCAATAAATCTATAGGTGCTATATTGTAATTTTGTATCAAGATAATTTGAAGGTGTAGCTTTTCAACTTTGTACTTTATTTGGCCTTTTTAACTTTTTTAATCCGAGCGTCACTGATTACGTAGTCTTTAATTTGTAGACGAAACGCGCGTCCGGCGTACACAATTTCAATCCTGGTATCTGTGATGAGTTTATTGGTTAGTGGTACCTTTGTAATTGAACTATATAAGATAGCAGCCATGTATAAACTCATGAACAATTCATGGATATCACAAGGGGACACGTTTCTGATAACAACAACACTGATCTGACTTTTTAAAATTCAAATATCCTGTCTGCCATATTAGATTACGTCGCAGTCTCACTGTCCTCACTTATGGTGCATCAACAGTTTTTTCCCATGACGTCATATTTTTAAGGACCATGCATAAGTGACCCTTAGTGTTATTGTTAATAAAGATACTTGTATATAAAACTAAATATCACTGGAATCAGAATGTTCTCTAGTTTATAATGAAATAAAAATAAAGTGTACTTTTAATATAATAAAAAAGTTCTATCCAGAGAAAATGGGGAAAAAAAGGCCAAATCTGAACATGTGCATACCCATGTAGGCATGATCCAGGCATATTTCACATAATCAAAACTGTATGAATTTCATAGATTTTTTCCTGGCCTTTTAAAAAATTCTCGCTTCAGGGTACGTTCTCCTGCTTCGAAAAGAGTACAGTGGCTACAAATAAGTTTTCAATATTCACTGCCAAAAATACTGCGACTCTTTTCACAAAAAATCTTAAGAGTAAAATTACTCGTAAGTCATACACATTTCAGTAAAACTTACGATCAATTTTAATCGTAAGAATTTTTGTGAAAAGAGTCGCAGGATGTTTACAGTGTTGTCTCCCCTTAAAACATGTTTATCTAATCTAATTTTTAAAATTATTTTATTTATTCAACCTGTTTTAATTGAAGCTAATTAACTAAATTTTACCATCAAATACATAAAACATGATACTTTTTCACCAATTATGTAAATAAAAGGGATTTCCCTTCATGGCTATTTTTAGTTGGGGAATAACCCCTAATTTTTTATACGAAACTGTTTATAGCACCCTTTCCTAAAATTGATTTTCTCATAATTCAACACAATTTCCGACTTTGTGCAGTATATTTATACACTCGGTATTTAATCATTTTTATGCAATTATATTGGTTTAATTTGACCTTCGATAAGTCTGTAAATTCATAATGTCATTATTTACGTAAGAATGCAGATACAAATATTTTTATTCGGTTGTACATACCTGAATATACGGGTCGCAGAGCTAATCTCGTCATACAGTAAATAATATCTTGCAGAAAGATTTCTGAAACATTTTAAAATTGAAAGGGTTTTCTTATCTAAACGTAAAGAATTTAAAGTGTTTGGAGAGCCTCTTGAATGATGATCTTTTCTTTTAATGGAAATGCAATTAAGCTGTTTTCTTCTTGTTCTTGTGTTTTGTTTGTCTTCTTTAAATGGAAAATAGTTCTTCATAGATACGAAATTTAATATTAAGATCCATGATGCACGCCAGTTTATTTTGTGTGTTTTTTTAATATATAATATATATATGAAATAATATAATGGTGTTACTTAAGCTCGGGACAAAATTGAGAAATTGGATATTATAAAAAAAAATAATTTTGTACGATATCTTTTATTTATTAAATATTTGCAATTCTTATAAAACAAAACTTGCAGATTTTTTTACTTCTTTAAGTGGAATGTCTAAAAAAAAAGGGGGGGTGTGGGGTACATGTTCAACGTTGATTAACACTTTTACTACCGAAACAATTACCGATATCAATAATAACTATGTAAACTTTTGTTCAAAAATTAATACTATATAGTTCCCAACCAAATCTATAAATTATAAGTCCGTTTGGAATATTTCCCCCCGTATTGACAGCTATCTGAAGGCAGGTCACAGGACAACAGTTCTATGTAGGAGTAGCAATCTATCACTTTTATCCAATCAACTCTCCTATATGACAAATATTGACGTGGGATTGTAGTTGAATCAATGTGATTCTTATAATCAAAAACAAAGATATATATATTTTCAAATATTTGGACAAGACTCCTTTTCAAAAGGTTCATGTTAATTTCTGTAAATATATTATATATTCTAGGTACCACAAAGACATCTTTTGATATAGGGTTTACCAAGCTGAACTTGGTAGACAACCAATAGAAAAATATATAAAACGCAAGGAGTTTATACATGGTCAACTTTAATCAAAGATTCTACACAAGAAATACATATTGAAATACAAAAAAATATTTTGCTGTCATAATATGAATGACGTAAAAAAAAAAAGAATAAACAGTTTAAGGTGGTACATAACACTACAGGGAGATAACTCTGTAAAAATCAGCTGAGCTTTTTAATCACGTTCTATTGTTTAGGAAAAATAAAGCTTCTCAATGATCAAAATTAGTGTTTGTTAAAGTGCTATATAGCCAATGAAATTTTTCCGATAAAGTGTGTGGTTCAAGTTTTTTTTTTTATTTTTGTCAAAGGGTCACAGTAAATATTTTGTCAAAAGGAGTAGGTCCGGTAAGGGCCGATTTTGGCCTCAAAATTCAGGTTCATCTGATGAAAGATTTTGGACACTTTTTAAACGCTTAAGTGTCTACTTCAGTCGATTCAATTAGTTTATGTGAAAGATTTGAACTGATTTAGTCATTAAAGACGCTCAATTTCAAGCTTAAATATGAAAAATCTATCAAATATGCCATAATATGTCACTTTTCAGATGGTTTTTGTCAAAAATGAAAGTGGCCGCATCCGTGTTCATTCTCAACCTTTATATATGTTATGTATTATCAGCAAATACAACTTACATTTAAATATAAAGAATGAACACAAATGCGGCCACTTCCATTTTAGACGGAAACCGTCTGAAAATTAACCAAAATGCTAAAATTTCGAAGATTTCAGTAATTTAGCATGACTTAATGATGCTAGTACCCGATACATGTGCATTGTATTGTCAAAAAACAGCCCACATTTATGTAACAGAAGTATTCTTCTTTCCAATAAATAGCTAAACATTTACATTTTAACAATTTTGTAAAACTGCTATATTTTGGGGCCAAAAAGGGGTCTTACTGGGCCTACTCCTTTAATGAAAATTAAACTAGTCAGTCAAGGTGTTTGGTACCACCTTAAACGAAAATTACAAACTTTTTCTTTATAAAAGCGTTAAAGTAAAATAAAAAGACCACGAATTTATCTTAGATATCCAAATTTTAGACATTTATTTACAAAATTTAAAATAAGTGACCATAATTTACTTATAGAAAAGGGCATATATCTGAATATACCTCGAAACCAAAGAACATGTCTAACTTGTAAAACCATAGAAGATGAAAACCACTTTCTCCTCTACTGTCAAAGTGATAAATATTACTTATAAAACTTTTTAATGACATCGCAATATATATTCATATATTTCCAAATCTTTCTGATACTGAAAAACTAGTATTCCTGCTAAATCCTTGAAATATTAACCAAGTGGAAAAAACAGGTTCCTTTATAAAACAGTCTTTGGAGCCGGGGACATGGGACTCTTAGTTATTTTATATGTATTCAAATCAGTTTATTTGTTGTTGTTGTTAATATTTGTCTAATAATTGTATTTGTCACAAGTATCTTGTTTACTTATATGACAATAAAGAATTCTATAATGACATTGTAATAGTTTTGGGACACAGTTATATCAACATCAAAAGGTAATGTACTTTAATGTAGAAGCTGTGGAATGCTGGTTCAAAATAAAATTGATTTTGACAAGTTGCTTTGTAACAACTGAATATTTTATATTCATATGTTTATTACCATGTAAACTTTCAACAATTAGTTTTTGACAAAGTACAAAATAAGTATACATTAACTGAAAATCCACATATATACACAATCATTTAATTACAGTAAATAGTACATTATACCCCTGTCCTCGGTTCTAATGATTTTTTTAATGTAGGACCACAATTTATAATTTACTTGTGGTTTTTAGTATTTGCTTTTGTATAAACTTTAAATGAATTATTTATTTCTAGGTCTGAACTAGTATTGTGTTTGAATTGTGTAACATTGGTACTAAGCATGTTAGCTTCTTTCAAAAGAGGATTTAATTTACAACATTCAAATCTCTTTAAAAATAATAAAGTTTGTAATTTGATATTGAATTGTATAGGAAGTCTCCCCAATTCAGCTCTAGTTGCAAGATAAGATGCATTCTTTCTAGATCCAAGTAAAAATTTACAAAATTCCGAATGTAGTTTTTCATTTGGACTTTTTTCAGCAAAACTTAAAATGTCTATTAAAGACTACTTCTTTTCCAGAATTTAAAGCTCTAATTTTTGCTCCACATAAAGAGATAAGATATGTCTTAATGGGTTACTTCAGAGTTGTATATCATAATTGGCTTTATGAGTGAATCAAAGAGATCAAAGAGGTGTGTGGCATGCCACTTTAAGTGGTAAAACCCAGATAAAGCTTGTTTTCGCTTTTTTACTAGTTCTGTACATTTAAGTAATAAGCATAAAAATGAATATTCTGATACATTCTCAATGTTAGAATTTTTATATTTTACAAATGATGTTCTAGATTAGAGAATATCTTATTAAATATCATGGATTGTGGTCTCATTAATATTTAACAATTATATTTCTCCTTTATAAAAGGGAGGCGAAAGATGCCAAAGGCATACTCAAACTCATAAGTCGAACATAAACTGGTACTGCCATGACAAAATACGAAAAAACGACCTAAAAACAAATAATAGTACACAAAACACAACATATAAGTGACCAAATTACACTTTACATAAGTGGTAAGCCCAAGCCTAACTAACCCTTGCATGGTTGATAACAGATGTTTACTATAGACTGCATTGGCGGATCCAGGGGGTGGGGCGTTCTATGGGTCGGAAAGCGCCTTTTTTTAGATTGAAAAAATATTATGTGAACGTTTCATGGTGTTCCGGGGGTTGGAACCCTCCCCTTTTCAAAATGGTTGGATCCGCGCTTGGACTATCCAATTCGTCAAATTTGCCTTTTATTAAAAAGGGGAGATTATATTACATTCACTCTTCACAGACACACTTGTTTTATTCAATTTTGGAAATTTAATATGAGGGGATAATTATATAATTTACTATATAATATTCTTTTTCAGATTTGAATCAATTTGAAAATGTTTGTAGAAATACAACAGATTCGTGTGAGGGTCCACAGGAAAAGAAATCTCATTTACAGAAATATTTATATGTGTTTATGCTTGGCAATGCCTTACATGGAGCAGGTTCAACTCCCATGTTTACTCTCGGGACAACATTCATCGACGAGAACACAAAGGCGGAAATGACATCTCTATATCTTGGTATGTTTGGATTCGGTCAGGAAAAACTTCACCGATATACAGCGTTTAAAAAAAACGTTGAGAATTCACTATCTGATTAAAGTCAACACAATCATAAATTGTCATCTTTGAAACTAGTCAAGTTTGGAATTTGTATGGCCCCTAATTGATAAGCATATGACATTAACTTTATAAATAGTATGCACTTGAAGCGCTTTTCCTGATTACCTTCACAAGGAACTCTAATAACCCCAAGAAATGAAACCAAGGATATATAAATTCATTTTTTACATGAATACATAAGAAACTTTTTAACCAAAAGGACCTAAAAATAGCCAAATTTGTCTAAGGTCAACTTATATATATATATTTCATGTAACATCAAGCTGGAGAGAATTTCTGTCAAATAATTGCATGCAGCAGATACACCTTCACGCGCTTTCTTTGAAAACAAGTATAGAAAATACACCTGTACTTGCTTAGCTGTACTAGTCTATTTGCCAATTACCCTTTGCCGACTGTAGTAAAAGAGCTGATGTCTATTCTTAGCATGATCAGTTAAAAGTGATTTATTAATATACGTTTATACTAATTTTTATATAAAAAAAATAGCTATTGGTATCAGAAGTTTTTACCTTACAAAAGAATAATGTAATCAAAAGATTTCAAAAACTAAAAGATTACGTACATATCGCACAGATAAATTTGGTCTTTCCGCTAGAAATGGAAAGTTATGTTCCTCCTAGTGAAAAGAACGTACAAAACGGATCTCTGATTACAGGGTCGGTTACGGAAATTGCAAATAGACTACTAGTATTAGAAAATTCTGTTGTATTTCTAAACGCGATACATTTAGAGCGATTTTTTTACTTTTAAGGAAATTTCATAGAGTTTTTGTAAAGTACTAGGAAACATCGTCATGAACATGTGGGTGTAAAAAAGCCAATTGTACAGTCCTTATTTCTAAAAATGTACCCTTGCAAGGTAAACGTAAGCAACTATAATGACAAAAAAACGCAACACAAATGAGGTGGAATTGCTAATCCAATTCTTTGTAATTTCATAACGAGTTTAAAAATACCACTCAAAGTTCGTTACCTGAAACAAATGTTGCAGATTAGCAAGTGTAGTTTGGTGTTGTTGCTAAAATAAGCATGCGCGATTTTCTATTCATTTTGGAATAAAGACTGGATCTTCAAATACTTCGAAAAGTTCTAATACTTGTTACAAATTAACATTTTCCTTCTAGAGTTACACTTCTTATACTGGTACTGATAGATTGCACAAAATTCAAAGAAAAACATACTAGAATCATTCAGAAAAAGAAATTGTGAAAAAAATATATTCTGAATGGTGGTGTTTAATTATTTAAAACTTTCCAATAGACTAATATATATATATATGGGACGACCAGAAAAACAGATGGTGCGTGTTATTATGTCTTAGTCGTGTGTCCCGTTGACCGTATGTTGTCTGTTAAAAAGAAGATTGCCCACTGTTGTTATAGAAATGCAATTACCCTAGTAAGACATAATTACTTCTCAAAATGCATTGTTATGTGCCTCTATAATGATTGCTGTTATAGATTGATTTTCTAATGTAGGTTCTCCAAAAGGAAACATTGATTTTATCTTTCAACATACGGGAAACTCCAACAATTCACAAACTTGCCAAAATTACTTCACACAGAATACATAGCTGTGCATCTAAATATAGATGAACCTTTTTCTTTGACAGACATATTTTGGGCCTTTCCGATAATAAACAAGGACTTTGACACTTTAACATACCAGACAGGATGTCAATCAATACACAATATCCAACATTTTACATCGGAAAGGATCAATGATTGACAGAATTACCTTTTACTGTACTATGCGTATGGTAGGGTTTACATGAACACAGCACGTGTTTCTAAAAAAAAAAAAAGGAAAACAACACGTTTTAAATTTCATTCGTCAGAAGCGCTTTTCTGGATTTTCCTTCATCCGGAACGCTCAAAGCCGAATATTTGAAAGCCAAGGATGTATAAGAATCGAAACAGACGAAGAGCTATGTTACCAAAAAGGACATACAAATAATAGCCAAATCCATTTAAAATCAACTTTGCCTGAGGGAGTTGAAACTTTAGTTTCTTTATAATTTCAAAATTGGTATTCGGACAATTTTAGAAAGGTTTATTAAAATCGTTGCATTAATTACGCATTTGCGTGCATTATTTATATATATACTCCAATGGGTGTATTTTTACAAACCTCTTTTTGTCGAGCCTGCGACTTTTGTCGCAGAAAGCTCGACATAGAGAAAGTGATCCCGCGGCGGCGTTAGCTAACTTCTTAAAAGCTTTATATTTTAGAAGCTAGAAGACAAAGGTTGCTTCATTCTTTATATATAGATGCCTTATGTTACGAAGTTTCCGTCTGTCATATGTCCATTGTCCTTGACCTCATTTTCATGCTTCAGTGACTACTTGAAAAAAATGTCAACATTTATTGTAATGTTAATTTCTTTCTTATTATGAGTAATAAGATAACTACATGTATATTTAGTATGTGCGTACCTTGCAATGTCCTCATGCCCGTCAGACAATTTTCATTTGACCTCGACCTCATTTCATGGATCAGTGACCAAGGTTAAGTTTTCGTGGTCAAGTCCATATATCAGATACTATAAGCAGTAGGTCTACTACATTTGGTATATGGAATGATTGTAAGGTGTACATGTCCAACTGGTATGTATCATCTGACCTTGACCTCATTTTCATGGTTCAGTAGTCAAAGTTAAGTTTTGAGTTTTGGTCTTTTTTTTTCTAATACTACATGCAATAGGTCAACTATATTTGGTGTATGGAAATATTTTATGATGTACATGTCAGTCTCGCAGGTTTTATTTGACCTTGACCTCATTTTCATGGTTCATTTCTCAGTGCTAAGTTCTTGTGTTTTGGTCTGTTTTTCGTCAACCATAAGCAATAGATCAACTATATGTGTTGTATGGAAGGATTGTAAGGTGTACATGTACATGTCTGTCTGGCAGGTATCATCTGACCTTGACCTCGTTTTCATGGTTCATTGGTCAATGTTAAGTTTTTATGGTTAAGTTTGTTTCTTAGATACTATAAGCAATAGGTCAACTATATTTAATGAATACATTGATTGTAAGGTGTGCATATCTGACTGGCATGGTTCATCTGACCTTGACCTCATTTTCATGGTTCATTGGTCAATGTTAAGTTTTCTTGGTTAAGACTGTTTCTTAGAAACTATAAGCAATAGGTCAACTATGTTTGGTTTATTGAATGATTGTAAGGTGTACATGTATTTCTCGTTTGGTTTATCTGACCTTGACCTCATTTTCTTGGATCATGTTAAGTTTATGTGTTACTTGTAGTAAAGCTTTATATTTAGGACTATCGACATAAAATCAATGGTTAGTAAAGAAGGCGAGACATTTTAGCGTGTGCACTCTTGTTTGAAAATGTTTTTAAATCTCATAAACTCAGAAACCCAACTTTTCGTGAAATAGATAGTGAATGTCTCAATGTGCTACCTACAAGGCAGGCTGACACAAGGCTTATTTCTTGTTTTTTTACATTATTGAGTTCAAAAATATCATGCCAAACCCATATATTGATTGATTGATTGATTGAATGAATTGTGTTTAACGCCACTTTCAGTACTATTGGCTATTTTGTTTGGTTTTGTTTTTTTTGGTACCGCTATACATGTATATCGCAAAGAGTTCTGCGTTTTAGTGTTTTATTTTAGAAACACCTCTGAAATTTTGTATGTTCTAAATAAAACTTAAAAAAAACCCAGCAGCAACAGCAAAATAATTCTTATTTTATTATCTATCGTAGGACTTATATATGCTGCCGCATCTATTGGGGTAGCTGCTGGTTACATGGGTGGAGGACAAACTCTTTGGCTCTTCACCGACTTCTACAGAAAAGATCCTTCTGAGTGAGTGTACTATAAAGCCGACGAAACCGTATGAGTTTTTCTAATTGTTGAAGGATATACGATGGCCTTTGATTACCTACATCCACTTCATATAAACTCATTTATAGGACCGTTGTCTCATTGACAATCATACCACATCTCCTTAAGTTTTATATACTAGTAGTTTGTTTTCTTTGTTTTTGTTTTATTTGGCAAATAATTTGTCCAATTTGATTGTTTACTTTTGTAGATTGCTGTCTTTGATTTTTTTTATACTTTCTAGATGAGAACCCCACTATTTACTCCCGTCTTAAAACTCAATGATTTAAATTAGTCATCATGCATTTAAAATATTTTTGATAAGATAAAAGGTCTCCGCCAAAGTATACTTGTACCCATTCCTTCCAGTATAAAAAAGCCTCTTGAAAATAAACACAAAATATTTTCTGAAATACACTCTAATTGTTCTACATGAATTTCCAACAATTAAAAATCAATCTGATTCACTTTCCGTTGTGTTTCGTTGAAAATTGATGACATTAAAACTATTGTTTTCCTTTGCTAATCAGATCTTTGTCAACAGCACGACGGGTGCCACATGTGGAGCAGAATCTGCTTACCCTTCCGGAGCACCTGAGATCACCCCAAGTTTTTGACGGGGTTTTTGTTGCTCAGTCTGTAGTTTTCTATGTTGTGTTTTGTGTACTGTTGTTGGTCTGATGGTCTTTTCTTTTTTAGCCATGGCGTTGTCAGTTTATTTTTGACTTATGAGTTTGAATGTCCCTTTGGTATCTTTCGACTCTCTTCTTATACAATGTTGTAATACATTTAAGTTGAACCATACTCATTTTTTTTAAACTTCTAGTTGAACTGATGAAACAACAAAGACATAATTATGGCGCTAGACAGAATCTTGTAAGATTTGTATAAAAAAACGTTAAAATTATAAAACACTTTTGCATTGTTAATCCTATGTGCCAAAAAAAAAGGAAAAGTGAAATTTACGTTAATGAGACAGAAGTGATATTTACGTTAATGAGACAGAAGTGAGATTTACGTCTATGAGACAAAAGTGAGATTTACGTCAATGAGACAGAAGTGAGATTTACGTCGATGAGACAGAAGTGAGATTTACGTCTATGAGACAGAAGTGAGATTTACGTCGATGAGACAGAAGTGAGATTTACGTCGATGAGACAGAAGTTAGATTTACGTCGATGAGACAGAAGTGAGATTTACGTCAATGAGACAGAAATGAGATTTACGTTAATGAGACAGAAGTGAGATTTACGTCAATGAGACAACGATACGTCAACACACACACAAAAGAAAAGAAAAACACAGGAAGAATCTATGTTTTTATTTAAAAAAAGGTATTGTATTCCGTAACTTGTACGGTCTAATACAAAGAAGGGTTCATATTCATATCACACTAGCATATTCTCGTCCTGAATATGCATTTAATTTGCCACTGGACATAAAACAGCCGTACAGCAATCCCTTTCACTGAAAGGGATAAAACTTGACCTACATTTTTTAACTTAATCTCATTTGCAAATCTATAAAATAGTTGTGCATTCCATAATTTTATTATCTTATTTTACTTCCCAATAGAATATCTATAACACCCGCTGATCCCCGCTGGGTTGGTGCCTGGTGGCTAAGTTTCCTCGCCAGTGGTGCTATTATGTTCATTGTTGCCATACCAATGATCGCCTACCCAAAACAGTTACCAGGTAATTACAATACGATAAGCAATCTAATTAAAAAACGATCTCGCAACGGCATTGCTCCCGTTTTCTGATATGTCGCGATGGGAAGCCGGTTTTTGATTAAATTGTACGATAATGTAAAGGAAACACAATACGTGTTTGCTCTGATCATTATGGCGTTTTTCATTTAATTAAAAACATCTTAGAAAGGAAAAAGTGATTACAATATAGTTAATTATTTGGTTCGAGACGCACCTGAACGCTTCAAGGCCGTTGTGCATAACCCGTTAGTTGATTAACACAAACAGAAAGACAAAGTTCAGAAACTCATCAATTACAATTTTTCACTTTGAATTTTATTTTACTACTTCATTTCAAGGTTCTGCACTAATAAAAACTGACCGCCACAAAATAGCCAATAGTACAGAAAGTTGCGTTAAATACCAATCAATCAATAAATTTCAAGGAATTAAACGCCTAATAAGTACAATGAATATATAAATATATATGACGACGAGGGTTATTTTAATGACCTTGACTACCCATGGGGGTCTTGCACGGTCGGCCCTGGCTTGCGCTTTTTCTGGCATTTAAATAACTCTTTTTTACCTTATGGTATGAATATAGAAATGTACGTACTTAAAAATTGTAAAACAAAAACTGCCTTCGCTTGTTTCCAGCATTAATTTTACTTTTTTATTGCCTTTCAAAAGAGATTTTCTAAACTCAGTAATGGAAAATGGAATATGGTATATAATTCAAGACACAAATTGCAAGACCAGGTGCGGAGTCAGACAGGTGGACGCGCTGCAAAAACAGGGAAAAAAAGTTAAAATATCAGTCATTTGTTTGTCAAAATATGGTCCTCTACCCCCCCCCCCCCCCCCCCCCATTTGTTTGTCAAAATATGGTCCTCTAATCTGACATAGATGTTCACTATATATATATATATATATATATATAGTGACCATCTATGTCAGATATCATTTGCATAAGAATGCATTTATAATCAAATGCATCTAATTATTCAGGTAGCGCTGGAATTCAAGCAAAACGAAAGTCAGAAGCCTATCAAGGAAAACAAGTCAAGAAAGTAAAAGACGAGAATTTTGGAAAATCTTGGAAGGATTTTCCGATAGCCATGTGGAATTTAGTAGGTACATGTTAAGAGAGGAAAAACTGATATAAATATTTTGTTTTTCTTTTTTTGGCGTTCTGTATGAAATATTTGAGAAAAATACTTAAAACACACAAATCATGCCAATGTTTGTTTGTATGTTTTCTTACTATTTTTTTTATATCAAGCGAATATTGTATTAGAAAAAATGGTATAAAATTTCAAGTAAAACGCGGTAGTAATGTAAATTCATTAAAATAAACGGAAATGGAATAAATATACTATACATATACCGAGTGCAAAGAAAAAGCAACCCCTAGATGTTATATTCCGTTAATTAAAAAAATTAAGTGACCGATATTCCTTGGAAGTTGACCAATCATTCTAAAATTCTGAATATCTCCTAGGATGTAAAGACGGTACATTTTAATCAATTTTCAGTCCTTTTTGATTCTCAAATTGTAGTGTTAACAAATTCCATATTTTAGATTAAAAAAACAAAGTTTTAAATTACAATACAGGGGCGGATCCAGCCATTTTTAAAAGGGGGGGGGGGTGTTCCCAACCTAAGAGAAAGGGGGAGTTTCCAACTATATGTCCCCATTCAAATGCATTGATCGTCAATAAAGGGGGGTTCCAATCCCCGGACCCCCCCTACCTGGATCCGCCACTGCAATATCCCACAGAACTGCTGACCGTGTTATATGTTTTTAAGCTAAGTATAGAAAACCAATGCTTATTATTCGGTTGAACCTTTTTAAATAGAACATGAATATAGGATAATACTCTGAAATTTTTGGGGTTTTTTTCTTGTTCGTTCAATCTAAATCAATAAAATTGTCTTTATAAATTGTCAGTCATTTGAATAATACCTATTTTTTACAGGTTATGAATCCTACATTTCTGTTCATGTCATTGGGAGCTTGCACTGAAGGAGCTATTATTAGTGGAGTTGCAACATTTGGACCAAAGTTCTTCGCTGAGAAATTCAACTTACCACCAGCGTTTGCTGGTTTGATAATGGGTATTTGAAATAATAACTTATGTAGCTTCCATACAATAAAGAAATGTGGTATGATTTCCAATGAGACAACTGTCCACCACAGATGAAATGATGGGGACGTTTTCAACTACTATTATAGGTCGCCGAAAAGTCAGTCGTCAATAATGATTAAAACCCATACTGCATAGTAAGCTAAAAAAGGCCCCGACATAACAAAATTAAAACAATTCAAATGAGAAAACCCATTAAACAATTCAAATGAGAAAACCAATTACAAAACAACAAACGAAAAATACAAAAGTATGTTTTGTGCAAATTTGAAATAAGGTATAAGTATTTATTGTTAAATATAGAAGAAGAAGACAGATTTATTACAAAAAGGCGGACGATACCAAAGAGACAGTCAAAACTCATAAGTCGAAGAGAAACCAACAAAACTATGACGAAAACGACGAAAAGTTAAACAAGAGTCGACAACAAATACATAGAAAATTGAAGACTACTAAACGATCCCCACCAAAAATCCGATGCTGATCTCAGGAAGGAAAAACAAAATGGCTACCATTTCTTGTGATATCAGAAACCGAAGCTTTTTGAAATATCAGTTTGCAAAGTTTTACTTTCGTTCCCAATGTAAACAATATATTCATGCACGATACAAACCAACTAACTGTACTGCAATCTATATACGTACTGGATACCACAAAATTTAATTTGAAAACAAATTAGCAGACGGATAAAGAATTATAAGAATAAAACGTATTACTTCTGAAGTTTATTGATGTGTAAACTGAAACCAATTAACTCATAAACGAATAAGAATTTTCTGTAATAAAAGTTTGTGAGCTAGTTGGTGCAGTTACACGCGAATTAAATACGTAAATTGCGTTTAATTCTACAATAAATGAATTTAAATGTTACTTCCGTGAAAGCTTTAGAAGTAAAACTAGACATGAAACCTTAAGCTTTTAGTTTCATCAATAGAAACCGTAAAAATCTAACGGATACTGTTTGTTTGTTAAACTAAAACAACAGTTGTCTCAGTTTTCATTATATTCGTTTCTTCATTTTATTGCAATAAGACCTTTTTGTCACGACATGTCCTTTTGTTTTTGTTTGTTTTTATTGAACCGCCTCGGTTGTGCTAGTCTCGAGTGCGAGAGGTCGTGGGTTCGATCCTTGACCGGGTAAAACCAAAGACTTCAACATGTGTATTTACTACTACTCTGCTAAGTACAAAAAATGTATGCAACATTAAAACGTAACAACAAAGACTGATCGGCTCGAAGTCAGAATCATGTGACCGGGTAGGATAGCATGTCTTCCTGTGGACTGTTATCTTGTGAATTAGCACATTAAAACACCCAGCTCCGTGTGTCGATCTAGTACAAAGCAGAGGTTATTCATGAGACATTATCCTTTTCTCGTCCTGACTATTCATCTAATTTGCCACTGGACATTAAACAGTCGTCCATGAAAATTTGCTTGTTTTTTTATTTTTATTTTGCTCAATATACATGTACATACGGCTACAAGTTAGAGGTTTGGCGCCCCGTCAGATATGTTTTTCAATCAACCGATTTTATTGACGAAGTGGTAAGAAGAGCGCAATTACATGGCGATGCATGTTCCAAGAGATGTTGCTAGATATGTCAGCATTTTATTTCAGCCACAACAAAGTAAATGACATGATGTGGAAAAGATGATAAAAGAGCAGTCTGCCGTCTTGCTTCAAAAAGAGGGACGAAAGATACCAGAGGGACATTCAAACTCATAGATCGAAAACAAACTGACAACGCCATGGCCAAAAATAAAAAGACAAACAGACAAATAATAGTACAGATGACACAACATAGAAAACTAAAGTCCAAGCAACACGAACCCCACCAAAAACTGGGGGTGATCTCAGGTGCTCCGGAAGGGTAAGCAGATCCTGCTCCACATGTGACACCCGTCGTGTTGCTTATGTTATTACAAATCCGGTAAATAGTCTAATACGGTAGGTCACATTCGTGAAAAGGGAGTTACGACATAAGGAACATATCCGATATCATCTGTGAAACGGTTATTCCATAAAGGTCAACTTCAAAAGTTTGAATATGGCAGTCAAACACTACTTTGTTTTGATATTCCCCAGAATTGAAAATATGTCTTTTAACATTAATTTTGAATATATATTGAAATACTATATACAGCCCATTCATAATTCGGTATTATTATAGGTTGTGTAACAGTTCCAGGAGCCGGTGGGGGTATGTTTGTGGGAGGATATGTTGTGAAAAAGAAGAAACTGAAGTGTCGAAGTATCATCCGGTTTAATTTAGCACTTGGTTTCATTGCTTTATTTTTTGGTTGCTTATTTCTAATTGAATGCCCAACCCAACGCATTAGTGGTGTAACAATAGATTATAAAACACATAGGTAACTAACGTTTAATTACATGTATACTTGCATGCATAATGTAATATTAAATATTATAGATTTACACTAGCAACATGCCGGGTGCAAATAGTAGAGCAGAAATGTCTTGAACCCTACGGAATCACAGAATGTTACCCCCTGTTTTTGATGGGGCTTTTGCAGTTCAATCAAGTTTCATGAGGGTCGTAATGGGGTACCTTCATGACGAATAACGGTAAAAAATTCTTGCCAAATGACGTTAACGGTAATTTTTGGTGCATGACGATAAAATGTACTCTTTCTTTTAGACGATAAAAAAATCAACTGATTTTGACGAATCACGTTAAATCTTTTCCAAAAATAACGGTAACGATAATTATTTGAGACCTCTGACCTTTTAACCAATTTGACGCTAACGATAGCCAAAAATGACCATTTGACGCCTGACGGTAAAGGGCATTTATACCTTCTTTCATGTGTAGTGTTGCATGTAACTGGTCTTGTTTTTCTTCTCTACCTTATTTATCAATAGTGTTAACCATATGCCCCCCTTTATTGTATCTTTATACTATTTTTGAAAGCTTCAATACTGTTTTCTTGTCGTCCACATTAAAGTACATTACAAACAGGTAGCCATGAAAACAATATTTTATTGATTCTATAAGATATTTTAAATATTGCAAGGAAAAATATAAACGATGACATGATCACAAAAATTCATATTAAGAACTACAAAATGTTTAGATTTAATCGATGCCCCGACGGAATTACGCATTACTGTTATCTTATTTCAATTGTTTCATATGGAAAATTCACATTAGATTTGCATTTTAAACAATATTATTCATTAAATTTCAGAAAATATCCAAGACTTTAATCTGTTGTTTTCAATCATATTAAATTTTGACCTTGAGAAAATATTTCTTATTATAGAACAACTCTGACTTTAAAGATGGTTTAAATTGATTATAAGGAATCTATTTTTGTGGAAAATAGTAATTACCAAAGTACATTTTAAGTTCACTACTTCTTTCTTTGTCTACAGAAACAGAGATTCTGATCACAATTTAGGGGCAACATGTAATGCGGAATGCGGATGTTCAGCTATGGTATATGAACCCGTATGTGGATTAGATGGCTCACAGTATTTTTCACCATGTCACGCTGGGTGTTCATCTAAGCATTCCTTTATAAAATCACCAATGGGACCTATCAAGGTAACACAAAAAGAGGGGAAAGAAACGAAGGGGACATTCAAAACTCAAAAGTCGAAGAGAAACTGACAAAAATGATAAAAACAACGAAAAGACAAACAAGTCCATAAAACATTACATAAAGAACTCAAGACTTAGCAACACGAACCATCAACTTCAAGGGTGACATCCGGTGCCCCGGAAGGGTACGCTGATTCTGTCAACCAATGTGCTAGTAAATTAAGCATGGAATAACAAGTAAATGAAGTTCTATTACAATACAAAGAAGACACTGTAAACTTCACTATTTAATTGTTCAAGCTAATTTTGTGGTTTATAGAACAAACCACGTTTTGTTACTGAGAGCATGACAACAAACTAAGCAAGTTATATCAAAATAGATACACGTGTAATGCAGAAGTAAGAGATAGAAGATCATATTTAACTTTTAAGTTACTATACTTATCCTAAGAGTATAGGCACAAAGTCTGTTTTCACTGTTATGATAGAACGAAAGAAAGGTTTAAAAACCGTCTAGATTGAAAAAAATGAAGTTAAGTTTCAGAGACAGAAATAAAAAATTGTGTCCAATTGTTGTCCAACTTTTATTAATATATTAACCATTAAATATATATGATGTTGTAGATGTATTTGGACTGTGAATGTGTTGAAGAAAGCATAACATATAAGATGAACAACTCTATGAATAAACAACTAGAACAAACAGATCAGATGAGTAAAACGACAATGCCTTCAATTGGTTTCTCAAGGACTACGAACTCTATGTTATCAAATTCATCAAACATGACTGGTCCAATAGGTCCTCCAATGGGAGCATATCAAGGAATTTGTATGTCCGACTGTATTTTGATGTACGTTGTGGCGCCGTTATTGTTCATCGGAATGTTTCTGACTTTTTCAACAGTGTCACCATGTCAAACTGCAACAATGAGGTATGACAGTAATAACCTTAAATACGAGAGAAGCTCTAGTATATTGATAGGGTTCGGTTGACAAAATTTGAGCACGAGTTACTTCCCCCTCCAAAATGGCGACAAGGGAAATAACGCAAAAACTTAAATTACGTCATATCGAAACATATCTATTGTATGTATAGAATATACTGAAAACAAAATTTAGTCTAAATTTGAAATAACTATTATGATCATAATTAGGGCCCCGCCAAATGTCGGGTCGCCCTTTAGTGATCAGTCTGTCCGTCCGTCCGTAACAAATTGTGTTCACTCTATATCTAGAGAACCGTTATAATTTCATACTTTATACTTGACATGTATATTAACCAACACCAGAGGGTGTTTCATAATGTATGTAAAACTTCCTAGGTCAAAGGTCAAGGTCAAAAACTTTGGTTTCAGTTGACAACCCCATGTCCTATGGTAAAGATCGTGTCCGCTCTATCAGTAAAGCTATTTCTGATTTGTTTTTACAGTATGTCTTTATGGTGTGTTAATATACCACTGTCTCGGGTAAGGGGAGGGTTTGACGCTCAAGAAACATGGTTTGGTCCTGTCTGTCCTAAGCCTGAAGTCCGTTATCTAGTGGTTGCGGTTGGTTGCTTTCAGTCATAATTTTCTTCGTTTATTTTCGTGGTATAAATCAGGCCGTTAGTTTTTTTTTTTTGTATTGCTATATGAAATCTCTTAATATCAAAAAAGGACATGAGGTATGATTGCTTGAAAGCTGTACCATGAGCGCAAGATACGCCCGTCACCCTTTTAGTCTGTCTTTATGCTTTAAATGAATGTATATGATCAACTGGAAATACTGTCCGAAGTGTTGACGACAGACGGCCGGACAGACCGACAACGGTTATACCATAATACGTCCCGTAAACGAGCGTATAAAAACTCGTACCACATTCTTTGACACAGGGAAGGATATTTTATCTGCAACTGGAATATTGTAGAGTTTTTACTGAGTTAGGGACATACATTTTGCATTGACACAGGCCACCTACGGACCCCCAGAAGAGTTGTTGCCATAATTTTTAAACGCGTCGAGGCACGGCCCTCTCTCTACATGAGGTTTCGGATATAACTTCCCCATATCGATTAAACGTGGCTGTGTATTCAAACACCCTGCATTACAAAACGAACACGCTTCTCTAGCCGAATCCCAGACATCAGGTGACTATATGTCTATACCCCAGTCATCCCTTGAGATTATAATTTTTGGAGTTACATGTAATGGCAAGTCTTTGGTAGCCGTATTGCATGTATTTATTCTCATTTCTTTATACTATGGGCGATTCAGAATTTTTTCAGTAACTAAGGTTCCAACTCCCCTAGGCAAAGTTGAACTTGAATGAATTTGGCTATTCTGTTTATTTCCTTTAGATGAATTTGGCTATTCTGTTTATGTCCTTTAGATGAATTTGGCTATTCTGTTTATGTCCTTTAGATGAATTTGGCTATTCTGTTTATGTCCTTAAGATGAATTTGGCTATTCTGTTTATGTCCTTAAGATGAATTTGGCTATTCTGTTTATGTCCTTAAGATGAATTTGGCTATTCTGTTTATGTCCTTTAGATGAATTTGGCTATTCTGTTTATGTCCTTTAGATGAATTTGGCTATTTTGTTTATGTCCTTTAGATGAATTTGGCTATTCTGTTTATTTCCTTTAGATGAATTTGGCTATTCTGTTTATGTCCTTTAGGTCATATAGCTCCTAACGTTGACGCATATTTAAGAATCTATGACATTCAAATGTTTAGGTTTGAGCGTACTGAATGATGATCCATTAGTGTCTTTTGTTTTTTTGTGTCATTAGGTTACCCTCTTGTTGACCTTATCCAAGGTCATCCTTTTATCCTTTTGGTTATGAAAAATCTCTCAAAAAGACATTATATTTTTACATATAAAAATTCTATGATATTATTGAGATATGTTGCAACATTATAAAAATTTCCTTTAATACAAAGAAAGAATGAGAAAGCAAACATAGCCGCAACACATTGCACAGCAAAAATCATATAACATATAACCTCCGGGGCAAATTTTTCTTTCTCTCTTTGTTTTCTGATTATTTCTTTTTACTTATTTGCTATTTGTTATTTTTCATTTACTACTAGCTATTTTTTCTATCAATATACCGAAAATATCAGTATAAAAACGTTACAAAAAGTCATAATATTTTGTGAAAAGACTAAATGAATACACTAAAAACTTGAGATTTAACTTGAATTATGTAAATTAAACAAGTTTTACGTAAAACTAAATGAGGGAAAATTTTACCACAGTGAATGTTGAAGATTATGACGATTTGTTTGATCAAGTATTACAAAACCAACGTTAATATGATGTTTTAAACTTTCAACAGTTTTTGATGATATCGGAGCCCAATGGATTTTCCCGATTATAACAAAATCCACCAGACTATTTATTTAAATTATTATGGTCAAGTCAGGGTTACCGTGTTTTTTTTTAAAACTGTATCATTTATATGATTTTGAATATTTTGCACGTAAATTTTTAAAAAAATAAATGGAATACTTTATATTGTAGATGCGTTCCACAATCTGAAAGAGCTCTAGCAATAGGATTCCAGTGGCTATTGTTGCGATTATTAGGTTTGTTTGTTGGCGTTTTGCGCTACTTTGTTCAATTTCATGATTGATTTATAAGTATAGGTTAATAGACTTACTTAATACAAAATATCACTTGGAAACATATGACACAGACGATCGCAATCAATTTGTCCATTTGTGAATATTTCAAAGTTTGAGTACTTATATGTTAGTTATAATAGTTGACACCTGCATAAAAAAGGGGGTAGCATTTTAAATATTTTTGATAATTTTGAAGATGAGATATGTGGGATATGTTAATGAGACTATCGTCTTGAACATGCATTAACTATTTGCCACTGGACGTAAAGCAAACAGCAGTCAATAATCATTAGACTACAATCCAAAGACACAAACACCAAAAGACGCCGGAATAGCAACATGCAGTCTTCAACAATAGGCAGCATGGATAGTCTATATATTATAAGTGTGTTGAAATATTTTCCTTCGCGGAAAAAAATTGAAAAAAGTAAAGTATAAGCGAAACAAAGTATAAGCGTTATATATACAAATAAGAGGTATTTATCAAGTGCTCATATTTGAAAGTATGGATACATGAAAGACAAAGAACGAAAATACACTTTTTTTTGTTTGAAAAAGAAAGATCATTCGCCGTATCAGTTCAGTGACAAAGTTCTCACCGAAACACCGAAACAGATTGTTGGTTTTCGATTCCTCCTTTCAATACATATAACAATTGTATGGCGAAACGATGCATGTAACATATATATTTCTTGCCTTTAATAATGTAGTTCATCTACAGTGATCTAACCTGTCAACACTGAGGTTGCGAGTTCGAATTCCGCTCTTGGCATTAGCGTTAAATTTTAAGAACTCAATTGACTAGGATAACCAGCTTTCCTATCGAATACCGGTAATTCTCTCCGGGTATCCCGGCTTCCTTCACAAATACAAACTGCCGCCATGATATAATCAAGAGTCCTGAAAGAGGCGTTAAACACCAACAATCAATCAATCAACAACAACAACTGCAAATAATGATAATGATAATAATATTAATGATTATAATATATCTTTACAGGTACGACCCCTGGTCCAGTAATGCTCGGTGCTATCATTGATAGTGCTTGTAAAGTATGGCAGAATATTTGTGGGGAGACGGGTAACTGCTGGATCTATCAAAAGACGGACATGGGAATCAAAATTTTTATATGGTGGTGTTTAATGAAAGGTTTAGCAGTACTGTTTTATTTCCTAGCTCAATATTTTTACAAGGCACCACCGGAAGACGCTGATACAGAGTGCGCTGAAAAACTAATGCATCCGGTTGAACAGTTGGAAACACGAGAGAGTGTCTTATAAAAAGGTGTGGAGTTGATAAATGCATACCTATCATAGTCCATTTCTAGACATATCATAACTGTTGGACAATACTGGTATTTTTTTCAGGGATACAATTCATTTTATCATCATCATATTTAAGTAAATACATTTACTATTTATAAATATGTATCGCATGCTTCAAACGTGACAACTTGTTAACGACGAGCTATCAGAAATCTATTTTAGAACGACAAGGTCTTGACCGAAGCAATCGACTATCTGACAAAATGTATATTGTATATGTTCTATTAAATGCTTACCCTTATGTTTAACAGTGTTGTGTTTGTTTTGCTTTGGGCTTTTTTTTTGTTAGGATAGAACTGTCTACCTTTTATTTTTATTAACGGTGACCTATATATATAGTTACTTCCATTCACGACATTTTGACTATGGCGAATAGCTGTTTTATTGGCAATCATACCACATCTCTTTATTTTAGATATACGATTTATTTTTCTATTCTCAGATGTTAGTTCGGTGCAGTACAGTTGTCATATTATATTGATATATATTTCCTACAATGTACAAAATTCAATATTGTATATATCTATGATTTGACGACATACTAAAACGTAAATCATAAGCAAAAAAGTTAAAGTTTGTCGTCGAATCATAAATATATACAATATTCGTACATTGAAGGAAAATATTTATCAATTTATTTATACGAGAATTAGAAATAAAGAAAAAACGAGGCAATAATACTGTACGAATATTGTTTTATCCTGCAATTTAACTTTCAACTTAAACGTATAGTGTTTAATGAAATCGACAAAACTTAAATGCGGACCGCGATTAGGACCTCTCAATTCTACTTCTACTTTTACCATTTTGCGGCCACCATCAATAATAAACTGATAATTTTGCCACTTTTGGATGCGCATATAAATTCAACTGCATGTGACGTAAACAGGAATGTACATGTATGTATGCACTGGTAGAATCTTCCGTTATTCGGAGCACCCGATCTGCGAGGGTACAATGGATCCCGTGTAAACTCTCTATCGGGATTAATGGAGATGTGTCACTAACATGTTTACAACAATATTTTTAAGGAAAATCCCCACCCAGCACAAAGGGAGTGCTATATATAGCTAGGACACCAGGATGTCTGTTTTTTGGTGGAGGAGGGCGAAGTATTCGGAGAGAACCACCGGGCCACTCGGCGGGGACAGACAAACCGAAGAGATATCAGCAAATTAATCTCTAGGTCAGAGTCGGGGGCAACTTTGACCAATCGAGGCCCCAAAGTACCCATTCTAGTGTTAAAACTTAACTCCGGTTTAGGTATCAGAGAAGTGTGTGTCAAGGTGAAAATCACCCTTCTCATAATGTACTGAAATCGCTTTGTGCTATCTGTACATCTGTATAAAAAAATATGAATAAAAGGGCGATTGCAGGATAAAACATACTAAACAATATTATACGTCCGTTTACGAGACGTATTATGGTATACCGTTGTCCGTCCGTCTGTCCGTACGTCCGTCTGTCCGTACGTCCGTCATCAACATGTCGGACAATAACTCAAAAACGCTTAAACCAATTTGCATAAAACTTTGGTGAATTGTTTATATCTATTGACATGAGCTCCCTTTCGTTTTTTAATAAATTTATGATTCTACGTTTCCGAGTTATGGGGTTTTATTCATTAAAAAAGGGGGGATTTTCCAGTTTTCGGACAATAACTGAAAAATGCTTTCAGCAGTTTTCATGAAACTTTGGTGAATTGTTTATATTATTGACATGAGCTCCCTTTCAATTTTTATAAATTTTAGATTTTACGTTTCCGAGTTGTAGGGTTTTATTCATTTAAAAAAGGTGAATTTTCCAGTTTTCGGACGATAACTCAAATATGCTTTCAACAGTTTTCATGAAACTTTGGTTAATTGTTTATATCTATTGACGTAACCTCCCTTTTGTTTTTCAAAAAATTCTGATATGACATTGAGAAGTTATTGCTCATGGCGCAGCTGTTTATTTTTAATTTTTCTGTTCTTTTTCTTTCTTTTATACATTACTAGTCATCCTCCCTTTGAAAACAAAGAGAACAATGACGACATAAACAAACGTTAAAAATACAGAACGTTGAATATCTTCATTTGTAAAAGAACAGGTTAGGAATTCAAAACATACCCATTTACAGCACTACATAATCATATTGTTTTTACGATGCATACTTTATTTACATCGGAGTTTGGTTTTTTTTCGGGAGGATTTCACTTTTGATTTTACGTTATCCATTATGAAGCAGGGACTACGGACACTGAATTTTGATAGAAAAACTGTAGAGATAAAAAAATGGCTGTTTAGGAAAAGGAAAAATCAATCGATCTTACTTTTTATTCGAGATGGAACAACATTTCAATACAATATTCATGTATGATGTGATGGCGATTTCAAAGGGAGTTGTCAATACTATGTTTTAAAAACAAATCTGTCAATTAACAAAGAACGTGCGAAACAGAAAGTCCTTGAACAAAATGGTTTCTAAGGAAGACAAAACAGCAGTTAACTGATTTCAAACTGGTAATTTAATTTTTCATTAACCAAAGCAACATAAAAAAAGAACCCTAGGTGAATCTCATAAACACCAGACGGACTGAACGCTGATGGTGCGTCCATAGGGTAAGCGCCTCCTGTTGTCTATGCATAGATAACCCGTAATACGAATCAGAATTTAGTCAAAATGTCACAATAAGGAAAAGGACAAAATCGGTACATTTACAGAGCAGACGACTATTCTAGTACCAAAAGATATAAGAATATAAACGGTGCAAATGTATTAGTATGCAATCGAATAAATCGCAAAACATGGCAATACCCACTATAAGGTCAAAATATATATATTGGTAAAAAAATAAAGCAGATAGACCTTGATATTCCGAACATTTCTGTCTCGCCTGATTTTCTCTCGCTTTAAAAGATAAAAGACGCAAGTTACATTTTACCCCTTTATTACTTTATTATTTTAACCGTGGTGGCCATGTTGTTTGTCGGAACGACATATCGATAAAACTAAATACCACAATTATGATGTCTGTGGCCAAGTTTGATTCCATTTGGACAGGCAGTTTCAAAGGAGAAAACGTGTGTAAAAATGTTTTACTGTTAAATCAAAACCAAATGCGTCATTTTTGCTTTACCTTTTACATAGCAAAATACGAAAAATCTTGAATCGTTATAACCATAAATTAAAAAAACCAAAGAAGAAAAAGTAGCGATAAAGAACATGTTTATTGCTATCATTTCTCACATATGTAGCCATTGCTATAGGCAACACGTCCACAGAATCCGTCGTGAAAGCTATGTCTTTCTCCTTTATAAAACATCATGCAGTCTTGTGGGCTAGAATTACTTCCGTCGGGTTGACCGGAACCAAAAGCTTTGTACGTCATCTTGATCATTTTACCGTTTTGTACCCATCTCCAGTCTCCGCCAGGGACGTATCTATTAATATTCCGTCCTCCGATATAGAAACTTATCCCTTGAATGCAAAATCAACATTTCCATTAAAAACTTTAAAATTCTTACATTGCTATGTAGTAAAATAACATCAACATAAACATGAACATATAGACTTCCTTTAACAAAAAAGTAAAATAACAAAAATACCAAACTCCAAGGAAAATTCAAAACGGAAAGTCCCTTATCAAATGGCAAAATAAAAGCTCAAACACATCAAACGAATGGCAAACAACTTTCATATTGTACAATAAAATACATTGTAAAATAATTCTAGTTAAGTCATCCTATTTAGGATGCTTAAATTTATAATTACATTGCGTTAAAAAATACAACTGAAATTTTCAATTTATGACTACTATTTGAAAATAACTTTAACCTTATGGAAAACAAGATGTTTTTAGCAGAGACTTTGTTATTAGATGCACATTTGAATTCTCTAACTATTGATAGTGTTAGGAAATGCCAAAATTCTGTAACAGATTCTTCAATTTTATATTCAGAGTCGACATATAAATTAATTGAAACTGTATAAATAATATAAACTGCTTTTACTTTATTAATCATAAGTTTATCCACAATAGTGGGATGTTGGAAACAAAAAGAGAAGACTCACATATCATGCTTAAAAAAGATTTCCTAACCCCTTTGGGCGGAAAATGGAAAATAAATGAGAAGGAAGTTAATAGGCTCATAGAAATACATGACAAAAAATAATAAAGGATGATGATAAATAATTCCTAGAATTATATTTATTTTTAAGATAGAGATTGGAAGAAACATGTTCGCCAAAAAAATGCAGAGTTCATATTGAGTTCAATGTTATGTACTATGGCATGGGAAGGAAATGATCTCCACGACGAGAATTGGGTTTGATTAGAAGATTTAATTGATTGACATAATTATGTTCAACTTGAAATCGTGCTTTCTAGATTTAAAACTCGTCCATGCAAGAAAAGTACAATCGCATGGCCTTATTATCTGTAGCCAGATAGATCTATTGAACTTTCAATTACAGTATTTTATATGCTTGTAAGTGCTTGGTTATTTCTACGGGGACCAAGGCATATTTGCATTTACGTGTATGCAAAGATTGATACAATAGAAGACCAACAATGAAACAAAAACAAAGCAGCTGAAATGATGAAAATACCAATATGAAAAGAATTATATATGCCGGTAACTATGATTGCCAATGGGATAACTATACAACCAGAGTTCAAATGAGGAATAATATACCTGTATGCATCTGTTGAAGTTCATATTTCATCAACATGGCCTCTTCCAGAGTCTCAAAAGTGGCAAGGTATGCACCACGCCGTAAACACAACGCCTTGTAAAAAGATTGTTTAAATTTTATAATGTAAGAAGTGAACAACATTTCTAAATAAGAAGTGAAAGTTACAGTCATATTTATGATTCTAATATATTATCTGAAAATGTGTTATTTAGATTCAGGGCTTGTTTCCTGCATGTATTGTACGATATCAAAGCGATGTATTTTGTTGTATACAGATATGTTCCTTCCAAAATGCAAATACATCAAATAGCAAAAAACATCATTGAAACCTCTCTATATATCCTATTTAGCAGTTTGGTTGATTAGATGGTTGTTGTTTGCTCAACGCCCAAGGCTCCAAGTACGAATATTTTATATGTGTTCATGACGAGATAAACTGAGCAATACGTACTGCACAGGTTGGCATTGAAAAAACGAAGATAGATGGATAGGGATAAAAATTTGGCCTTAATTGCTACATGCCTCCTATTGACACTTCCAAGTGTTGTTGCTAGAATAATCTAACTTGCACACACACACATACATACATACGCACGAAAAGAAAGAGAGAGAGATCTGGCATCGGTTATAATTTCCCTTTCCCCGCAAAACTGCCAATTTATTAATTCGTCACAGCCGAAGGAACAAACCATTACATTTAGCATTTGTTTGAGTGGTGAGATTCGAAATGAGGAAAGGGTAACAATTCTAGATACTTCAAGATATCATTCTGTATTCTTCATCTTCTTTTTACTATTATTCACTATTTTTTTTAATTTATTTTAGAACCCCATCTATACCCTCACCAATGTGCGGCTTAAAACTGAGTATAGGGGGAAAACCGAAATCACAGGAACATGGCGAGACGTAGAAAAAAACTTTCAACAGTAAAATCGTTCTGATTTTTCCAAAAAGGAAGGATTGAGTTTGCATATAAAGAATGACAAAAATAGGAATATTTTTTACTGCAAAATTTTAACTTAGTTACATCAGATAAAGGTTGGGATAAAAAAGACAAAAAGGTCTAAATGAAATGCTAAACCCTTCCATTGTACTTACAGTGGCTGAAGAAACGCATTTCTGATCTATCTGTCTGTATGAATATATATATATGCTTCATATACAATTAAAGTTTACCTTGTAATGATTCATTTGCTACATATTTTGTTCAGCAATGGTTTGGATAAATGTATGAAAAAAAAAAATGATTTAAAAAGTGTGAACACATATCTAAATTGAATGATTAAAATTAAAAAAATCAAAGTACGATTAAAATTTGATTGGAATTTTCCGGGTTTTTTTTTTTCGTTTGAGAAATCCACTATAAATATATTAAATGTTTGCTTGCTCTAGTCCATTGACAACTCTTGCATGTCTGTTCAGGACGAGAACAAATTAACTGTTAGTACAATATGAAGGTTCTGCAAGGTAGGCTGACCGGTTTGAAGAGTGGAATATTTGGAATTTTCCAACTGGAAATGAGGGGATATTTGATAGGACAGACATTTTCCCTTGCAACAAGTCACCTACTGACCTCAAGAAGAGTTATGTCAAGATTTTTTTTAACTCGTATATAACGTTCCCTTTCCGATCGGATGTGACTGCATATTTGTATATCCAGCAGGAAAAAACGGACACCCTAATTTAGCAAGAGTTTACCTGCCGAAATGGTAGAAGTCCAGTGATTATCATATTTCTATTTCACCTAGTCAACTATTTGGGTTTTATAGCAATTCATAATATCCTACAGTTGAAAATAACTGACAAAGAATGAGAATAATTAGAATGAAAATCCTAAACTTAAAAATTTCAACAATTCTACATATTTCCATGTCGTAGTTTGAAAGCTTAATATTACAAAAATGCATATTCAACATGATTTGTAAACTTTTGCTTCGAAGAAAGTCTCTAACCGAAATGAATTTATTTGTATCCGAAAGAAAACAAATATAAAGCTAAAAAATATTCCAACAGAATTTCTTCTTTGGAGTAAAATGACTTTTTATACATTTTTGCCATTCAAGCAGAACAAGAAGCCTTACGCAAAAAAGCTCAACTAGAACAAGAGGCTGCACGTGTACGCCGGGAAAAGGCTGAACTAAAGGCCAATTTGAACCTTCTCGAAGCACAGAGAGAAGCTGCAGCCGCAGAAGCCGAGGCTCGTATCCTGGAATACGATGGCAGCCAAGCGTTTAGCGATCTCCCTGACGAAACAGAAGACCTGCTCCAACGTGTGCAAGATTTCGTCAATAATCATCCTGTACCATCTGCTGTACAGGAAGTAACAGGACCTCAAAAGATAAAACAAATTCCTGTTAAGATAAAGCTAAGTCATGAAGCACCTGAGTTCGTACCATCCGTGGCATTGAACTTGCCGTCACAGACACCTGCTGTCTTACCTGCACATGCTAAGTCAGCAGAAGTAAATGTGTTCCCAGATCTGGGAACAGTAACTGGCATAGGAAAACATGGCGTTTCAGCAAAGATCCCTGTCTCACAACAAAAACAAGGCGTTATAGAAGAGATCCCTGTCTCACACCAAAAACAAGGCGTTATGGAAGAAACCCCTTCTGCACACCTGCAACAAATCAATCCTACGTTAGAGATAACCAGATTTCTCCTACGCAAGGACCTGCTGTTCTCCCGGCTAACAAGCTTTAACGACCAGGCAGAATCCTTTCATACATGGAAAGCCAGCTTTAAAAACGTCATAGACGAACTACAAGTTTCAGATTCGGAACAGATAGACCTACTTATTAAATGGCTTGGACCAGAGTCTGGTAAACATGCCATCAGTATAAGGGCATCAAATGCCAACAACCCAACAAGAGGCCTACACAGACTATGGGAAAGACTGGACGATCGATATGATGCTCCAATAATGTTGCAGACGTCTCTCGTCAACAAACTTGACAACTTTCCAACACTGACAAATAAAGACAACTCACACCTGTACGATTTGTCAGATATTATCTCAGAAATAGAGTATCACAAAGAAAATCCCAAGCTGGGATGTTTGCTAGCTTACTTCGACTCTTCGAAGGGGATAAATCCTATTGTGGAAAAACTGCCATACGCACTCCAAGAAAAGTGGATAACAAGGGCTTCAAGATACAAGTCTTAATATGAAGTTGCATTTCCACCCTCCACAGAATTCTCTGCCTTCATCAGGGAAATTAGCAAAATAAAGAACGATCCTGGTTTCATCTTTGGGTCAAAAGTCACACCAAATACAAAAGGTGCTGCGCCAAAGTTCACACCTCTGACCTACTCTAAAGTCAACGTCCATAAGACGGATGTTGAACAGCAAACTGGAGACAGCAGTCAACAACAAGATCTGTGTATCCTACACAAGACAAAGTATCCCTTGAATGAATGCCGAGCGTTCCGAGCCAAATCAATCGAGGAACGCAAAGAACTGTTAAGACAGAACAATGTGTGCTACAAGTGTTGTGAGTCAACCACACACAGAAGTCGGGACTGCAACGCAAGTATAAGTTGTAATGAGTGTGGAAGTCAACGACATACCACCGCACTTCACATCACTAGACCACAGCAACCTGCAAGTTCTCAGTCTAGCTCGCCCAGACAAGCCTACGGCGGGGAGCCAACAGAATCGGCTGAAATCAAGTTAACCTCTGTGAGTTCAACCTGCACAGAGATCCACAAAGATCCTAAGAGTGAGAAATCTTGTGCCAAGATATTACCTGTGGATGTGTACCACAAGGACAGGACAGACAAAATTATCCGGATGTACGCCATCATTGACGATCAAAGCAACCGGTCTCTTGCCTCGCCTGAATTCTTCAATCTGTTCAACGTTCGCGAAAAACCTAAAAATTACTCCCTTACAACATGCTCCGGCAGAGTAGCTACTTCCGGGAAAAGAGGAAAAAATTTCGTCTTAAAATCTGTACATGGTGACTTACAATTTGATCTGCCTACATTAATTGAATGTAATAATATTCCCAATAATCGAGACGAAATTCCTACCCCTAAAGTTGCAATCATAGGAAGCATTCTACCGATAGAGGAACGTTGCCAAATTCTACTCTTAATTGGAAGAGACCTTATAGAGGCACATCACGTCCTTGAACAACGCCTAGGACCATCCAGAACTCCATTTGCCCAAAAATTGAAACTTGGTTGGGTCATAATTGGAAATACATACATTGACAAGCAAACTGTTACGCTTGAAGTCAACACAAAGATAACTAACGTTTCAATCACGAAACCAGCACAACTTCTCAACGCCTCAAGACCGGAAATATCCGTCAAGGACGAAAATCCAATCGTTGGTGAAGAAAACTACCAAAACTTAATTTCAGATGTGAAGGTTGCAAAAATGCACTCCATACAATTCCTTGAGTGTACTGGATCTAGTGCCAAATCTGGTATACTCAAGAATTTCTCTAAAGGGACAGCACTCGTTTCACGAAAAGCAGAATCTGTGACTTCTATAGAAAATTCTATGGATAAAGAAAATTTCATTCCGAAATCAACAAGACCTGAAGTTCATGGAGAGGCAATCAGTCGCATTCACAAATCTATTCCGAAAGAAGGACCGATTGCCAATTTCAATCTGCCTGTGAACAATCAACATCTACTCCGAGTAGGAAGCAATATCGCCAAGTCTAACTTGGATATTAGTGAAAAGGAACCAGTGGTATTATCTGGACACCATCACAAAGCAACACCCTTTGTGGGACATTACTACGACAAAATCAAACATCGAGGACGCCACCTTACAGATAGAGCGACTAGATCCGCAGGATGGAACGTTAGGACGAAACGCTTAATTTCGTCTGAGACTCACAAAGATGTGACATTTCGCCAAATCGGACGAGGATCAAGTACTAACTCCCGTCATACTTACCGGAGGATATCGCCGTCTTACAACGTTGAAGAAAACAGTTCCTATTATCGATACAGCAGTAATAGAACATTCTACAGAACACAACAATATCGTCCGAGACAACCTTCTTCTAAAGGACAAGAAACTGTGCCAACCCAGTTTCCCGGGAAATAAATTTATTCAGGAAACTTTATAGTGA